ATTAAACAGCTTAATTTTAAGAGCATAGCAAAATTGTTGAAATAAAATGAAAATGCTTTTTATGAAGCCAAAAATAATAACATTGGATATAATTCTCATTTGATGAAAGAAACATTAATACCTAAGAAAATAGATGATCCAAGAGAAATGCATTTAGGAATTCTATGAACAGAGGGGTGATCTTGTTAGGCAGTATATGATTTCTAGTGGACTATTACAAACCTGATGGTTTATAATAAACTGGTGGTAAATTTCATAGAAAATTAGTAACGAATTTCTACTACAATCTAAGTGTGTGAAGCACCTGCATATTTAATAGAGCCTTCTTGGTTAGCATGTTATAATGCAAAGGAACCAACTGAAGCTGGTGAGGGCTTTGCTATCATGGAATGATGTAAGAAAGGAGGCTGTTCCATGAGCAACAAAACTTTGAGTTGGCTTTTTCTGTAGGCTTAGGTCTCATTTCCTTTATACTACCACACCCCCCCATCCCCACCCCCATCCCTTTTATTTTACTTCTACTAAGCTAAAGATGGCATGTTCTTTAGCAGAGACAGCTTCTACTGTGCTGAAGGATATGGCCGAGTTCTTCCTTTCTCCCTCAGAAAACTATAGATTCTTTTCCCCTTTCCTTCACCCCACCAGCAGTATTCATGAAATTTATTAAGAACGTAAGATCTGCAAATTTTTTCAGCTCTTTGAATTGTGTTTGAAATTACCCATCAAACCAGAAGTTGTTAAGGGGGACAGATGTCCACCCAAATGGACAATGCAAATGTATGAGCCTTATTTCCTTAGGGGGCAAGGCTGACAACAAATTACTGTAATTAATGTCTCACCCTGTCTATATAAAACCTTTTGTCAAAGGAGGACAGAGTAGCCTGAGTGCACTAGATCCCTATAGACTGAGGAGGCAAGCAGTCATGCTTACTTTTGTGACACTGGCCAGTCAGCCAAAAAAATGGGTGACCTAGAACGTCTTAATGGTATTTCCATCCTCCTGATGTAGCCTGAACACCTTTGAGCCTTGTTACAGCAAACATTTTTGTCTGCCTGTCTTAAACCTGTTCAAAAGCATGAGTGCATACATAAGGCATTCTTAGCATAATTCAGTCACCCTAGCATAATGTCCTGGGTTCAGCAGTAGCAGTCATTTTTCTCCTCCTTGGTAGCTGGTGGAGTGCAGTGTTTTGACTTTCAGCTCGGGAACAGAGCTGATAACAAGGATGTTTTGGTTTGGCCAAGGACTTTGTGAGCCTCATGCTCTGCCAGGGAGGAGGGGAAGCCAGGAGGAAGCAGAGACAGGACACCTGACCCAAACTGACCAAAGAGGTACTCCATACCACAGCACGTCATGCCCAGGATGTAACTGGGAGTGAGCCGGAAGGGCGGGGAGACTGCAGGGTTGGAGGAGGTATCGGTCGGTGCTTGGTCGGGCTGAGGGGGGGCAAGTTATTGGTCGGCTGGTGGTGAGGTGTTGTATTCTCTTCCCTTGTTATTTCCTTTATCATTATTATCATTGGTGGTAGCAGTAGTGATTTGTGTTATACCTTAAGTTACTAAACTGTTCTTATCTCAACCCGTGGGAGTTGCATTCTTTTTTCGATTCTCCTCTCCGTCCCTCCGAGAGCAGGGGGAGGGCAAGAAAGGGGGGGAAGTGAGCGAACGAATTACCTGATTGGGTTTAAACCACGACACACACTGTAACTGACAATGACTATCTAGAGGGCATCATGGCCAACTTGGGTGCTCCAGATCATTTCAGTTTGCTCCAACAGATAGAAAAGATCCATAGGGATGGGGAAACATGTTTCATCTCCCTTGCTGCCCCTGCCTTGCTGCTCCTTCCTGGAGTAAGGCCATGGGAACTTCAGTTTTCATTCAACCTTTTGTTTTCAGCAGCCTGTATGGTTTGGGGGTTTTATTTTTCCCTGGGGAAAATGAGAAGTCTTTCGTATTATTGACAGCTAATATAGGATAGCTTTTCATTCATCAGCTACTTTTTAGATAAGGTAGATTTGAATTGGCTGTCTCCTTATAACCTACCAGTTCTATCTTTTCCAGGTGACAAAAAATATTCTCCTTTCTATAAACAGAAGCTCCCTACAATCTTCAAATTATTCTTTTCCCAACAGAGTCTGTGGTATGGTAGCATGGCCAAGAGGTTTGGGGCTTCTGGTGCTGAATGTGAAGAAGGATGGAATGAAAGCTTAGCAAGATGACAGAAATACTGACCAGTGGCCTTCTAGGCAACAGTAGTGCTTTTGTTTCTAGAAGTAGCAACATACTCAAGTCCTTTTCTTGTCAAGGCCTTTACCTGGATGCAAGTGTCAAGAAAAGGCTTCTACAAGTGCAACCATTTGTCCTGGGTTCAGCAGTAGCAGTCATGTTTCTCCTTCGTGGTAGCTGGTGCAGTGCTGTGTTTTGACTTCCAGCCTGGGAACAGTGCTGGTGAAACTGATGTTTTCAGTTGTTGCTAAGTGATGTTTACCCTGACCAAGGACTTTGTGAGGCTCATGCTCTGCCAGGGAGGAGGGGAAGCCGTGAGGAAGCAGAGACGGGGCGCCTGACCCAGACTAGCCAAAGAGGTATTCCATACCACAGCACGTCATGCCTGGGATGGGCGGTAACTGGGAGTCACCCGGAAGGACATGGGCTTCCGGGTGGGACTCGTTTCTTGGCCGGTGGTATTGTATTCTCTTCCCTTGTTATTTTCTCTTATCATTGCTGTCCTTGGTAGTGGCGGTGGTGATTTGTGTTGAACACTGGTTGCTGGACTGTTCTTGTCTCAACCCGTAGGAGTTGCACTCTTTCGATCCTCCTCCCTGTTCCTCTGGGAGCGGGGAAGGGGAGAGCCCCAGATGGGGGGGTGGGGGGGTGGGCTTGGTTGCTGTCAGCCCGGCACCACTCACTGGCAGTGAGTGAACAAGCTGTCTGGCTAGGGTTTAAACCACGACACCATTGCATGACCTTTTTATCTTCTTGGACAGGTAAGTATCAGAGAGGGAGAGAAGTGAAACCCAGAGGTGGAGAGAGGAATGAAAAGCGAAGGGACTCATCCAAATACAGAAACTCACCAGGTATGCATTTGACACTTTATTTCTGTATAGAAATGGTAAGAAAATTCAGAAAGGCATAATACATATGAAGAAATGCTGAGAACTGCAGGCAGTGTGCACAACGTATTGCAGCAAAAGCAAGGGGAATATGCATGTATCAGTCACTGACCCCTATTACCAGCAAATCGCTCTGTTGGTACTCAGATTTGAGACAGCTTGGTTTGAAGATGGCTGCTACCCCTGCTATCATTTACCAATGGCATTTAGATAATATATAAGTTTATAAAGTATCAGAAAAAACACTGGACATCTTTGGTAGATCACACTAAGATCTTGAGGGCTGATGTTTCTCTCATCAAAGTTCAGAGAGATCTGAGGGATTTTATTTTTTTGTTTTTCCCCAAAATAGGATGTGGTTGGGTTTTTTGTTTGTTTTTTTTTGTTTTGTTTTGTTTTGTTTTGTTTTGGTGGGGTGTAGTTTTTGTTGTTGTTGGGTTTTTTTTGTTAGTTTTTTTTTCTTTATTGTTTTCTTCTTGTTTATTTTTTTAGTTTCTGTTTCTGCTTCTCTCTGCCCACCAGGAGCAGCTGTCAATGAAAACACAGTGGTGCAATTCAGTGCTCCTTCCTGCTGCCTGTGCATTTTCTTTTAGAAGCAAGTTTCTCTTTACTTCTGGACCTTAACAGGTGTCTAAGATATGCAGCTGTATTCCAACAGCAAGCAGTACTCTTCTGAAGCTAATTTGAATCTTTTTCAAGGTGTAGCAGTAGTTCTGCATTCATAAATATCTTTCTGTCATTTCTTTCCTAATCCAAAGACTCTCTCAGTATACTTTCTTTCCTATTTTCCATTCTGTAGGATGCAGATGGCAAGGCAGAGGCATATGACTTTTGTACCACTTTCTTTTTTACTACCACAAATGAAAAGGCACTCAAAGAGTAGTCTTGTGACATACCATGAAATTACTGGAAGTCCTTTCCAACCCTAACTATCCTATTCTAATCCCAACTATTCTATGATCCTATGAAGTGTGGAGTCAAACAATGTGAAATAACTACTACCCTATGACGTGCTTCCTAAACTGTATTCCAAATATATCCTATATCCTATAATGTGTTTCCTAAACTATATCCTAAATCTGTCCTAAAGTATATCCTAGAATTTGTTTTAAAAAGACATAGTAATAGATGAATAAACATAAACACAGTAACAAGTGTATTAATAAACATAGTAACAAGCATAGTAACAATGATAATCTCAAAATCCAGAGGCCAGCTCCCCAGTTGGGGAGATGCTCCATCAGGTGGGCGTTTGCTGGCAGGGCTGAGGAGTGAGCCAGCAAGGCCTCCTGCGAGGGCTGGGATGGGTCTGAGGGCGCTGCTATGGTTCCAGGGCGAGGTGGTGGAACCTTCTATCCAGAGCAGAGGGACATGGTGGCTGTTGCCTAGGTGGTGCTGGGGCCGCAGGGTAGAACTCCAAGCCCAGGCAGCAGAGCACATTCAAAGCAGTAAATGGGCATCTACAAGGGCAGAGTCAGAAAGCGCTGATGAAGCCATGAGGGCAGGAGCAGGCAGGACTTGGCTCCTGGGCATTTTGGAATATGCTGTAAAAGAGGTCATTGTTAGCACAAGAGAGAGGCTCCTTACTGGTTCCTTACTGGCAACTACAGTGTTGCTTTTGTCCCTTCTCAATACATGTGATACCCTCAGAACATGGGAAGTTGACAGAGACATGCAGTGCCCCCTTGCCAGGCAGCAGGGCTCAGCAGGGAGCCCTTGGAAGGTGGGGTATGGTCCTTTCCAAAACCCAAGCAGCAGCATCCCTTGCTCTGCCATACTAAAATCACAGGTTGGCAGGCAATGCTGGGGTAGTATGTTTCACCTGACATACATGTTTCCCTGAGGGCAGGTACATGCTTCCTGTCCAGGACCATCCTGTGCACCTCAGGAGTGTTTCCTGTACTCAGAGCTTGGCAAAAAGATGGAACACAGGCTCTGCTACATACCTGGGTGCCTTGTTATTCCCCTGCTTGAATTTTTTCAGTTGCCCATCCCTGACAGCTCAGTTTTGATCTTCTTCTGGCATGGTGGCCCATCACTGCCCTCTTCCCAGGCTGCTCTTCTCTTCCCAGTGTTGCGTGAAGAGCCTGGGAACCTTTCCATTCAACAGTATTGTTAGACAGGTGAAGCCATGATTACCTTGAACCAAGCAAAGCCGGGCAATTTTACCTTTTCTCCCTGGAAAAGCTCCTCTGCTGTTCACTCTCAGGAGCAACAGGAGGCACCTGCAACGGCAATGTGTAGGTTAGCAGGGGGCAAGGACCTCCATGCACAATTGCTACCCTAGATCTAAAAGGCACATTCCTTGGATGGGTTTGGTCAGCTCAGCTGAGCCAGTTGTGTTGAGATCACCTCACAAAGCGGGATGGCCAACCTGCGCTTTGGCAGAGCTGCAGGCTGGTGGATGACCATGCTTGTCCCTGCAGCGACAGCAGCCCCACCTTCTGAGGGGGGAGGCTTTTGTTGTCACACTGCTTGTGCACTTCACTTACCTCTGCTGTTTCCAGCTCTGCTTGTGCTGCTGGTGTCTCCTCATCCCCCTTGCTGGCCAGCCCAGCCACCTGCTCTCCAAGGAGTTCCTCATGGTGTTCAATAAGGAACTGGATGAGCTTCGTCACCTGCACACAGTAAACCACTGGTTTCACTGAGGGGGCTGATGAGGGCTCAAACAATCTTTCCCAGCCTGACCTGTTCTTCTGTGCAAGAAGATGCAGCCATGGGGCTGCTCTTACCAGCTGCTGCTCCATGGCTTTGCTGACTGGAGGAGGCAGCCAGGACCCTCTGAGCAGCAAAGCTGGGCTGGGAACGCTGTAGCTGGGTGGTGAACACAGTGTACCTTCCCTGTCTCCAGAGCCAGGACATCCAGGGGCAGCTCCTGGGGTGGGCTCAGAAGGTTTGGTGCCAGGCAGATGGCCAGGTTCCCAGTGGTCATCTTGGTTGTGGCCACATTCTTGCTGATGCTGCTAAGCAGCGACAGCAAGTGCCAGAGCAGGAGGAGGTTGGCCTCTGGTAGCTTGCTGGCCACCCTGAGGGAACAGAAGCACAGCGTTAGTGAAGTTAGCATTGACAGCACAGGTCTCCCAGGCTGATCTCACCCAAGGCCACTGCCTGCTCTACAGCAGAGGGACTGCCTCTGCTGAGATACAGCCACCTCCCTCTCTCCCTGCCCTTCTGAAAAGGGCTCTTATTGGAACAAGCCCCAGCGCTTGTGGGAAGTGATCCCCAGAGAGAAAAGCTTTTTCGTGCCCCTCTCCCCCAAACATAAACCCCACAGCAACAGGAGGTGGCTTGCAGGAGCCGTGGCTATTTTAGGCAGGCCACTGCTTTGCAGCTGAGTCCCAGCCTGTGCCAGTCCCTGCTGGCTGTTGCAACACTTACTCTTTCAGTGCTGCCAGCTTCTCCTGTCTTCTGGTCTTCTCCATGGTGTGCATCCACTCCTCAAACAGCTGGGTGTTGAGGAGCTTGGAAGGGATATTACGAAGGAGGTCCTGCAGTGCCAAGGGCTCCACGTGAGGCTTTGGCCACTGCACCCTTGGCGCATCTGCAGCATCCCCAGCCCTCTGGCTCATGAGCAGGTAGCTGGGTTTCTGCTTGTGCTCCCGCAGGTGCCCATCAGCACCAAGAGAGCCAGGAGCTGCAGGGCTCTGGGTCAGCAGGGCTCACCTTCAAGAGGACAGCCAGCAGCAGCACAGGCTGGTTTTCCAGCTGCACTGGCACCCCGCTGTCCAGGGCCTCCCTGACCTTGTGGCAGGCATGCTGGCTGGCTGCCAGCTGGAAGATCCCCTCCCTGGATGGGCCATGCTCATTGAGCAGAGCCAGCAGGTCCTGAAGGCACAGAGGAGGAGAGCTGCTGAGCTGGAGACAGGCCCCGAGATAGGTGCTGGGGACAGCCACTCTATGGAGGAGCCAGCTGGATGGGATGGGATGGGATGGGATGGGACTGGATGGGATGGCATGGGGAACCCCTGCCCAGGGTGGCTTACCTGGATGGGCTGTGGCAGCATGCCATCTTGGCTCCAGAGGTCTGCCAGGGGCCGGCCAAACAGAGCTCCTGCACCAGCAGAGCCTGATGGCCCTGGTGCCCCTACTGCAGCCGAGGTCCCTGGCAGTGCCAATGGCCAGGGCAGCCTCCTCCTGCTCCTGTGGGTCCCACCTGCTGCCAAGGGAAATAAAGCAAAGAGCTGTGGAGGAAAAGCACCAAGAGAGTACTCGCAGACTCCCTCAGTGCTGTCTCCCCATCACTGAGGGCACGGGAGAGGTGGCATCATCTGGGACCAATGGGCCCTGGGGCTCAGTTCTCTCCTGCTGAAGTGATGGGGATGGACGTGCCCTGCAGGAAGGGCAGCAGCAGCCACATTGCTGCACATGTGCCCACCTGCAAGAGCAGGAGAGAAGGGCCATCCTGCCACTGTCTTCTCCACACTCACCATCTACGTGGCCACATCCACCTTCACTACCGGAGAGGACAGGAACTGGCAGCTGCCTGGCACCAACCTGCAAGAAATGGGCTGCACTCACCAAGGAGCCCTACAGCAGAAAGGGCCCCTGGCAAGCTGCATCAGCCTCTGGCTGTGTGTAAGAGGTGGGAATGGGTGAGATTGCACCACAAGTGACACTGACCTGGGCTTGGCGCTGTAGCAGCTTCTCCAGGCTCCCGGCATCCAGTGTCATCTCCTGGGCAAGGGGAAAAGAGCAGAAGGTGAGGAGCGATGCAGCTGATGCCAGGCTGGAGCAGCCCCTGGGGACAGAGCAGAGGCAGGAAGGACACTCACAGCATGGCGGCCATTCAGATCCTTCATCACCATCCTGATGGACGGCAGCTGGGTCACCCGGGCTCCCTGAACTCCTTCCGGTGGCCTGTGCACAGGGAAGGGGGAGAGAAGGGGATGTGTGAGACCCAAGCCAGCTCTTCCCTTTGCTGCCAGCCTGGGGAGCACTTCCACACTGCCAGGAACAGCCAGTACCACCCAGCAGTGGAGCGGTAGCAGCAAGAGTGGCAAGGATGGGGCTGGGCAGGGGTTGGCTGGACACAGCTGGATGAAACATCTTCACCACCTGTGCCTGCTCAGCAGTGGGGGCACCTCTGCCTGCAGCTGTGGGGCACCTGTGCCCAGCTCAGAAGAGGTATTTTCTGATTGTTTGGATGCCACTCATGAAGCATTCCCCATGATGAGAGTATGGACAGCCCAGGCTTCAGTGCCAGGCAGGGCTTACCCAAGGAGGGCGCTGACCCAGAGTTCCTTCACTGCCTGGGAGCTGCCAAAGGAGAGGAGAAACAGCCTCAGTGCCTGCTGTGCCCCAGCAGAAGATGCTCCATGGGGCACAGCAGAGGTGCTGCCCACCCCTCTGGTGGGACGTTGCACTGAGACTCACCAGAAAGTGACAACACAGGAGCCACAGGGCCAGAGGAAGACAAGGGAGTTGGAGGCCTTCCCTTCCTCCTCCTCTTCAGCAGCATCGCCAGCTGAGCCCTTCCCGCTGCTCAGCACCTGCAGCAGGCCCAGGGCCGGGCACAACAGTGGGTGCGGGGTGCTGCCACATCTGCAGAGAGCAGCAGGGAGTGAGCTGGAGGTGGCCGAGCCCACTGGCTCCCCTCTAGTGCCTGCCAGCCATGGGCAAGGCCATGGGTGCATCCAGCACCAGGGTGCTGGGGCCCTGGGGCTGCTCCTTGGCTGTCCCTGCTCTGGTGCCCTGGTGCTAGGGGCAGGGCTTGGGAGGAAAGGCAGCTGGGCTCTGGCTGTCTTACTTGGTCTTGGCGATGACCACACTGTCCTTGAAGAGGAGGAGGTCCCTCTTCTTCCTCTGGACATGTCCCTGGGTCACCCGCACATGCTCCCTGAGCAGTGGCTCAGGCAACACCGGGTCAGGCTTGCACTGCTAGTCGGGACCAGGGACATCCCTGCAGGGCAGACGGCGTTGGGCATGAGCAAGGTGGCTGCTGCGGGGCCCAGCTGTGCCAGTGCATCCACGAGCTGTGGGGGAACCCACCTGGACCTGCAGCAGCAGAGCCGCTGCCCCATCCTGACAGGGGCGTGAGAAGACTTGCAAATAAGAACTCCTAACTCTCAGGATGGGAGTGCTCTGCCACAAGAGAGAAGCACCCCCAGTACTGCTGGTGCTGCCACACAGCACCATCCGTGCAGGCACTGGGGCCGTTGCTGGGCCAGCACCTGGTTAATACGAACACCATCGTGACTTGATTCTAGAACCTGGGGGCCCAGATGGGGCGGAGCCCTGCGGGGCTCTCTCCAGTATGCCCATATGTCTATCATACTACACAGCCCAGACCTGGACTAACATCAACCATAGCTATACTATAATGAAAACAGGGCCACAAATACTCTTTCATCATTTTTTCCAATGTATGAACAGCTTCCAGGGGTTTCTGAGTGCGTTCAGAAACTGAAGTTCTGCAGACCAGGGTTTCTTTCCAGCTTAAAATCATTAGCAAACTTACTTGTGGTGCAGTCAACTCTGGAATCTAGATAATTGGTTAAAACATTGAGCAGAACTGGCCCTTGAATTGATCCCTGAGGACCACCACTGGGAATGGCTGCCAGCCAGATGTAGCTCCATCTACTATAACCCTTGGAACACTGCCATGCAGCCAGTTCTTTGCCCAACACACCAAGTATTTGTTCTTCTCACAGTAACACAACTTGTCCAGAAAGCTACTATGAGGGACAGTAACAGAAGCTTTGCTAAAAAACAGAACAACCACATCCTCTACTTTCCTGACATCCACTAGGCAAGTGACGTTATCAGAGGAGGATATCAAATTAGTTAAACAGGACTTTTCCCTTGTGAACTGTGCCTCATGATTTCATTGTCCTTAAAATGCCTTTCAGTAGCACTCAGGTGATCTTCTCCATTACTATGACAGAAACTGAGGTTAGTCTAGGGGTTCTGTCATTTTCTGGATCTCCCCTCATGCCTTTCTGATTGAAATGGAAGAAGGTTGTCTTCCAGTCATCAGGGTCTTGCCCAGACTCTCAAGATCTTTGATCGAGGGGGATCCTGTGTGATTTAATTTCTAGGTTGTTCTGTGTGGAGTCAGGAGTTGGACCCAATGTTCTCCACAGGTCCCATCCAAGTCTGGATATATTCTGTGATTCAATTATTCCACAATTATTCCAGTTAAAATTTGTTGATGTTATTATTTCAAGTGGAATTCCTGCACTTAATCAAACCAAGATCCAGGTATAGAAGCCAAGGAAATTAGTAGAATCAGTATTTTCTTTCAATCACAAACAAAACTATAAAGTCGTCTTGCAGAATGCTTGCCATTGTTAAGTTTAGTAAAAGTATGACTCAAACAGTGAGACATCTGCTTCCATCCACTCTAAAAAATACACCATATATAAGCAGGTAAGCAGGGATGTCACAACAAGATATTTTTGGCTTCTGAAGAATGAAACAGAAGTTATAGACGCTAAGTACCAAACATGCTAAAACTTGATAAGTGTCAAGACACTTCATGTAATCAATGAAGACAGAGAAGCATCTCCAGAAAGCAATCTGGATTTTAGATGGAGTGTCCCTCTGGAGACTTTTATTTTCTGCTGTCAGCTGAGTGTGGAATACTACACATTTAATAGCCTTCTCAATTTAAAGATGCAGTGTAGAGGAGTAGAGGAAAATCACCTCTGTTAACCTGCTGGTCACACTTCTTTTGGTGCAGCACAGGACACAGATTTGGTAGGAAGTTCTTTTCCTAGGTTATAGAGGAGAAATCCAAAGAATGCCATTGACATTGAAAGTTCAGTACCAGAAATTTCTCGAAGAAGATTGTGTCATCCCTGTCTTGCCAGTGGCATTTCCTATCAACAATTATCATATTGCATTTTTAGGAATTTTAAGATGTTTAAGAAATTGAATTTGAATAACAGCTTTTTTAATATCTGTTTTTTTTTCTTGTTTTGTAAATTCTTAATTCTTTGGTACTTCAGAAATAAACATTAACTACTGCTTATTTTCCCATATACTTTATTACAGTTATAATTTTATTTTTTCTGAGTTCTGATTTTCTACAAAGATAGGACAAATATGAAATCCTTATTCTTCATATTAATTTTCCAATATCATTTTTGTCACAGTTATATCTTAATAACTTGCATTACAAACCAGAATGTCAGGTGTGTTCAGATTTAGGAATCTAAGACCTATCTCTATAAAATGCCTATTTTCTCAGCCTATTTTTTGTTAGGAAAAGTTGTGAAAAACAAGTGTTCAGTATCTTTACTCAATATTATAAACTTATCTGTAATATATACACTATTGCAGTACTTAAGTCTCTCAGTAGTCAACTTACAATTTAAAATGAATGAATATTCATTACTTAAAAAAATGCATTTTAGAACTAAAAATCAAAGATTGTAAATCTGTCATCTTTTCCCCATCAAAATTGTAAATAAGGAGTATCACTTGTAATTAATTGTAACACCAAACTCTCCATTGTTGCTGTTGCAAAAGAATCTTTTACACTTAGGAATTATAAATTAATTATTTTTTAAAAAGAAAGCACTGATATAGATTTTTTTTTTTTTTTTAGTCTTTCTATCCTTACAGTGTAGGATCTGATCTTCAAAGCATTATTTACCTGAGAAATCCTTACTATGCAAATAGTTATATTCAAGCGTAAAGTCATTGGCTGCATGAGTAAACTGTATATGATTGATCTTTTCTGTAATGCTATTGCTAACTTTACAAAATGGAGCAAGAATCTATGAGCTCAAGGCTGCATCATGTCAGTTGAGATTTTTCTACTGATTTCAGTGTAAGCCAAGGAGGGCCTTAAAGATGCCAAAAAGACATTAACTCAAATCTGTATTACTGGGTCATAGCAAACTTTGACCCCCCCTCATTCTGGAACTTGGTATACTCTTGAATGTATACCAATTTGACCATTATTGAACACAGTGATCTTTACTGTCATATCTCACCTGGAAGATATGTGCTTTTACTGGTCAGACAGAACACAGCAGGTCAAGCACAAACCTTCAGTCTGTTGATCAAAAATTTAATGTTTAGTGTCCCTTGTTCAATTTTCACAATGAAAAGTACCCTAGGGCTCTAAAAAAAAGGCAGTTAGACATACTTGTATTTGGACTTCTTGCTCCTTTCAGCAGCTGTCGATACTTTGTACATTTGTACGCTTTAGAACATGTAGCTGATGCAGTGTATTTTCATGATATATGTGATAGAGAAGGGCAAAAAAAATCATTCTTGTTTGACTGACACAGAAGTTTGAGGCACTACACTAGTATCTAACATTCCATAGTGCTTTTATTCTACCATTTTTAATATATAATCTCAGAAAAGAACTTTCATTTAGTTTCAATCCTTTTAAACTTCAATGCTGAGATCATTGTTTAACCTTATAAATCTTGGAGTCCCATAATAAGCATTATTGAGGCCTAATTACTTCAAACTTCATTAAATGGTCTGTTCCGTTGAAGATAACCTAGGCAAACTGAATATTGGCTTCCTTATCAGGATTCTGTTTTCCTTCACAGCAAAGAATTAATGAGTTACAGTTTGTCAAGGACAGAATTCCTATGCTGCACAAAATAGTAGGTTTGAATTATGTAATTTGGAAGAGTGCCAAGAGTGCTTTACTTGATACCATCTGGAAATGAGTCCATACATTATTTACTACAGAAGAGGAAAAAAATTATTTTTCTTTTAAGACTTCTTCTTGATTAATGTTCCTGATATTACATTGATCAGATTATGCTGAAGGTTGTTGAAGCTACACATCGCTTTACTTGACTTACCTACAAAAAAATCTTAACATTGCTGGAAACATCAAATAAAGGACAACTTATATTTTGTGCTTTACACATCATGCATCTTTTTGTGAAGAAATTATAAGTATTTGTGTGTGTTCAGTGTATAAACCCCATGTTATGCTGAATCAAAATACATCTATTCTTTTATATTAAAAAAGGAACAAATAAAGAAAGCAAGTAAATAAATTCTTCATGTTAAGTTTTCCAAGGGAAATAAAAGACCCCATCTTAAAATATGCTGAATAGGAATTTTGGTTTTTTGTTTGTTTGTTTGCTTGGTTTTTTGTGTAAAGCAAAAATTGTTCTAAGCAACCCTTCTGGAAATATATGATTTAAAAAACAGATTTCAATTTTCTTCTGTATCAAAGTTAAAATGTAAAAGAATTGAGCTATGCAGTAGAAAAAAAATTTTGATGATATAAAATTCAGTCATTCGGTCAACTTTCTGAATGATGTTAACACCTTAGCACCTGACTTCCTCCTTACTTTTTGGATTTATTTAAGAATTTTTATTCATTCTCCTTTTCTGTCTGTGGATGTTAGTAGGTGAAATAGAAAGACCACTAAAAAAAAAATAAATAAAAATCTACAACCAAATTTCCTGATATAAATGGTCCAGTGAAGGACCATTAAAGAAAATTTTCCTTACTGCTTGAATTACTGGAATAGCAAGTGCTCAGTTACTCTCAGGGAAAGGTATATGCGCAGGTCAATCAAAAAGTAGCAGGTGTCCAATGCAGTTAACAGTTTCAGAATTTAGCTGTAGAATCCTAAAAAAAAAAAGTCTGAATATATATAAAGAGTTTTTTTTCTAATTCTTATACTTTGACAGTATTAAATGAGAATTAACAAGCATGTTTAGGATATCAAGGTGACCAGTTTGGGACATTAAAAAGGAAGACATTCATGCTTCTGAAGGTGTCAAAAAAGTGTTACTGCTTCAAGAGATGATTTTTTGTTTTTGTTTTTTTTTTTTGTTTTTGCTTTTTTTTTTAATATTAGCAACCTACTATTTCCTCTTCCTAGCACATTCCGAAAAAAGTGTTTGAGTTCATTAGAAACTTTCTCAGGTATTTAGCAGGAGACAGCATACAAGGACTATTTCATCCCAAATGTTTTAAACTCAGGAAAAGTCTAAGCAGTGAAAAACAGGATCATAAAAATAAAAAATCCAGGAAAATTAAAACCAGACATTCCTACCTACCCCACCTCACCTATGAGCAACAAGAACAATTAATTTGCCA